ATTGCAAAAGAGTCCATTTTAGTTTTATCTTATTTCCAAAATTTTGGGTGCTGAGCGTTAAGTTAGCCCCCCAATAGGATTTTGCCTAAAAATTACCGAATATGGAAATTTCGAGAAAAATCTGATACAGCACAGTCCAGCACACTTCAGATTGCATAAGAATCCATTTCTCTTTCATCTGATTTCCAAAATTTTGGGAGGCTGAGCGTCAAGCTAGCCTCTCATCTTGTTTTTCCTATAACTTTGGTATCAGAACGGCACAGTTCAAGTGGTTGCAACTTTGTTAGAAAATTCGAATGTGGGGGGGCTAACTTGACGAAGCCTATTTTTGAGCTTTTCGAAGTTATTTATAAGTAAAATATAATAACTTTAATGCAGCTGCCGCTGATCAATGCGTGTATTAGCGGTATCGCATTTTAAGCAATTCATAAAGTCTGTTTTTTTTTTTAAAAAGATAATTCCCCAAGTCAAAAATTTAGTACCTAACTATGTTAGCAACACAAGCGTTTTCTACATAAAAAATTTGAAAGCATTGACAATTTTACATTGTATTGCCAACATAATGTCATTTTGACTTTTATCTTTAAAAAAAAAAAATAAACTTTAGCAGACTTAGTTGAGGTGCGTGCGGGTTTCGGGTTTGCGTCGGAACTAGTGATGCCGCGAGACTCGAGACTGGTCTCGTCTCGTCTCGTCTCGACTTTTCGAGACGAGACTGGCTTTTGGTCTCGTCTCGTGAAGTCTCGACGAGACGAGACCAGACTCGGCGAGAGTCTCGTGTAGTCTCGAGTCTCGAGATTACACTTAAAATTTTTCTTTTATAGTTTTATTATTGGACTATTCTGGGCTATTTGAATATGAAATTACTCTTTACTGTGATTTCTCACTAATTGCTTTTTCACTAAGGCAGTTGGGACTTCCGTTATGATATAAAAATAAAGACCATAAATACAGGGTGTCCGAAAAATAGCGTAAAAGCACGTAAAAGCTCTCCACTTAGTAGGAGACAATTTGAGAAACCCTAGAAAAATAATCAAATTAAAAAAATCCTTCTCCAGCATTATTCTTGGTAATATGAAGAGGTAGATGTGAAAATTTACCTTCGAATTCTTCAGGTAATTACATGGTAATTTAATTTAATTCTCTGACATATTGTTAACGGGATATTTTCAGTGTTGCCAATTTTAATAAATATTAAAATGCAAATAACTTTCTTAAGAATGCCAGTAGATTTTTTAAAGTATTTTTCTGGGATTCCTTGTAGGGTCCTCCACCACATACAGAAGAGTTTTTACGCTATTTTTTGGACACCCTGTATAACTCGAGACCAGACGGGACCACTCGAGACGAGACGAGACGAGACTGTGGTACTCGAGACCGAGACTAAGTCACGGTCTCGTCTCGAGATGTCGAGACGAGACGAGACCAACCCTAAGTCTCGTCTAGTCTCGTCTCGCGGCACCACTAGTCGGAACTCTCGGGTTGGTTGCATTCATTACTTGAAGCTTGCCAGAATTGATTTCGAAAGAGATAGACATAGATTAGGGACATAAAGCTACTTGAAATAATTCGCCGGTATCGGTATCGGTATCGGTAACGCAACTAGATACGTTGACAAGCGAAAAGGCTGTTAAGGCCGTATCAGACGTGCCGTTGCCGATTCCGTTAGCCGTTGCCGTTGCCGTCGCGGTTGCAATCACACTTGACAACGTTCCGTCACCGATTACTGGTCACTTGAAATGTTAATAACGTCAAAATGTCGCAGTTAAAATATTCAAAGTACAGCCCCGAACGTCGTCGGAAAGTTTCTTCTGCGTTGCTGTGCTATATGATTATATTGCAAAAAGAGGAAAGAGAAAGATCCAAACCAAAATCGGTATGGGTGCAGTACCAGAAGCGATAAATTGCAAAACTGAAAAGTGACGTTTAGACACATGACACATGCTGTTCATAAAGCGCTTTCATTGGCTACGGTTCAGAACGGCATCATAGAATTTAGACTCCAACCTAAACATACAACGGCAATCGCAACCAGAAGCAGGTACATTTTGATTGGTCGAATTTTCAATCGTAATCGTTAATAGTAATCGGCAACGGCACGTCTGATACGGCTTTTAAAGCGCTCCCTGTTCCGGTAAACGTAAACGCATCTTATAACCTAGAAATTTTTGTCTCAAAACTCCGGCGTTTTTGTATCTAACCTTAAAATTGTTATTTTTTTTGCGATAGAGAAGTACTAAACACACAAGAAACTCAAGAAAGCATACACTAAACAAATTAAATCAACCCGGAAGAAAAGTGACGTTATTCATTTAAAATTTGACACATGCGTCAGGAATGTCAAGAAACGTTACCGATAAGGATACCGCGAGAGGGCCGTAACGTTACGTTGTACGTACGGTATCTCGGCCTCCGTATCGCTTCTGCACATGCGCAGTACGATACCGATACGGATACCGAGCAAAAAATACGGAAGCTTTATGTCCCTACTGACTATGAGCCTTATCCTTATAGTATTGAAGAGTAATTTCCGTAAAAAGCCATTTCCTATTCAATTTTAATTTTTTTTTCTTATCTGTTCGTTTATTTTCCACCGCCCACTAATTTATGCTTACCACCCCCCAAAATCAGCTCTTGAGCTCTTAACCGCCCCCCAAGATGGTTGTAGTGCCCACTGGGAACCACTGGTATAGTCTATGCATGTTGTGACAGTGTTGGCGGGGTTGGCTCTTTAACCTTAACTGTCAATTTTGACTTTTACTGGAATGCCATCCATGAAAATCAAAGTATGCCATGGACCAGCACTCCTACCAGCTTTTACCAAGCCCAGAAAAGCGAATTACATCATTTATTCTTCGCCGGTTCTGATCGCGTCTGAAACCTCTTTCTCTTTTTGAACTGCTAGGCTTTAACGTCCAGTGTCCTGTTTCTCCGCACAGGTTGCAATCATCCTTTTTTGCAGGACAATCAACGAATGTGTGCCTTGGAGTTCTTCCACATTTTCGGCAATCTTTTGTCTCTGTTTTTGCTTTTGGGTTTCTCTCATAATTTGAGTTGCCCTCACTGAATGATTTTGGGCGCGCTCCCTTCTGAACGTAGTCAACTTCCAGCTTCCAAAATTGCACAAGCAAATGTTTCGGCCAATCTGGCACGCCTTACCATTTATTACTAAGGACTCTTGTATGAATTTTCCAGTCTTCCCAGTCTTCAGCTTGAAAAGAGAAGTGAGATGGAGGGGGGATATTGTGGCCTGATGTATAGTCACCGGTGCCGAAGCTGTGTTTTCTGCATTTAGTAATTGCTGCTGCTGCAATCTTAATAACTGATTTATTAAATCTTGTTGCTGATTAATTTCGTCCGCACTCAAATAGCATTTTCCTGTTCACTAGTCATGATTAAAAAATGTGAAGAGAAAACAAAATCAACAAAACAATTCAAAAAGTCTACTTTCTTTTAAAGAAAAAAAATATCTTACAGTCTACCGATGTTGTAGTGGATCTGGCAACATCGAAGCTACCGTGGGTTCTGCATTTTGCAGGCCGCCAAGGTTTTCACCGTTTTCACACTAAAAATCTGCACTATACCCAGTAAGAGCACTTCACTAAAGTGGCTAGAGTCGATAGGTCACTAATCGAATGAAAATGTACTATTTTTACCGGCCCAAAACACGAAAAAAATAAACGCTGTCACCATGTAGCAACCTGTGGTATGCCCACCTGATATCAACTGCTGGGCTGCTATCCCGACTCTCGAGAGGCGTTGCCGGCTCAAGTATTATATGCCACAAAGGTAGGATTACCCATTCGCCAACCTTTTTTTGACAGTAATATCAAACAGTCGCATATGAGTTGTTCACAATAGTCGCAGTAGCCAACTTCCAAAACGAAAATAATCAGAAATGGCAAGATCTTTTTCAAATTTTATCCACTAGGAGACGTTTATCGTTGGCAAAATTATCCAAAATGTGACTCAACCACCATTTCGTGGTCATGCAACTAACGGGAATTAAATTGCTCACAATACCAACACAACTGACAATTGAAATGCCACTCTCTCTTGATTAGGCAATTCAATCCATCTGTCAAAATGGAAAATTCAATATGGCGTGGCGGCCAAGTAAGTTTATTTGATTATGTTTTTATGCTTATTTTAAATTATTTTGCTTAGAGTTTGGTTTGCAACTTTGATTTTGATTATTCAATAAAATATTTGTTGACTAGGAACCTGAACTATTAAATCGGGTAGAAATTAGATATTTTTTTGTGTTTTTTGGCTCATGTGTGGCCGCCACGCCATCTTGATTGTCACGTGATTTGAATTGACGTTTTCAATTAAAAGAGATGGACGATAAAGTATGAAAACATTCAGATTCCCGCCAACATTTGCATGCTCGTCAATGTCAAGTGTATAGGGTGTTTAGCAATCCCCTGGTTTTTATTCTAATCGGTGACTCCACCGATGAGTTAGGTATCTTTGTTCAGTGAATGGAGAATGACAATGACCGACATAGAATGGTGAAATTTGAAATTGGAAAGAAAATGTGGGAAGCAAACAGCTTCCGCAAACTAAACTTGAACGTGGATATCTTTGTATACTTGATGGATCGTGGATTTCCCTTACTTTTGCGAGTATCAGTTCTGATTTTGTGTATCCAAATTTTGACAAATGTAGGATTTGATGAAAACTTATGGAAAGACACGTCCGCCGGTGAATAGGAATTATTTTCACGAAAAGGCACACTACACACAATCACCATTGTTAGGAAAAAACTTTGAAAAAACCGAGGAAATAATAGTTTCCAGTCTCACACGTATAAAACTCTTATCAACAAACCATTGTCAATAGCTGTCAATCATTGTTTTCATACTTTTCATACTCTTTTGGCATCTGACAGTCTGACGCCAGAGAGAGAGGCTTCAATATTGAAAAGGTCAATTGCCTAATTACAGTTTATGATGACAATGTTCTAGCGAGTCAATCAAAAACACTTTTTTTTTTAGGTGTGATAACTTTGGGCTACAGAGGCAGCTTCCAGTTCGGCAAAGACGGCTTGGCCGACGTGAAATTTCGAAAACTGTCCAGAATTTTGGTGAGCGGACGCGTCGCCCTTTGTCGCGAAGTATTCGGCGAAACTTTAAACGAGAGCCGAGACCCGGACCACGGACAATCCGAACGGTACACTTCCAGGTTCTTCCTGAAACATTCGTTTTTGGAACAGGCTTTCGATATGCTTGTGGAACAGGGATTCAAATTGGTAAGAGTTGATAATAAGTGATAATAGATCGCTATTGGAAATTTTTAGGTTGGTAGTTGCGGTTCAGGTACCGCAGGTGGTTCGTCCGATTTGAAACCAGGCGTTGACGCCGAAGAGAATCGATGGAATCATTACAATGAATTTGTCTTCGTTAGAGAATAAATAATCGAATATCATTCTAAATCAAATATTTTCTATAAACGAATTTAATATTGTCTCCCTTTTTATCTTTTAATGTAGCCATATTGAAAACTTTACACTGTTATATTCAGATTAGGGTGGCGAGGCGATAATATTGATCATATAATGAAATATGCACCTTGCCATTTTACGTGAATAAACAGTATTTTTAACAAGAAAAACAAAGATATCTTTTTAGAAGAAGATAATGTAGTATAATGAACACCATCGAAACATGTTATAATTATCATACAGTATTAAATAGGTAAGTAGTGTCTAAAAAACCTATAAACAAAAAAAAAAACGAATATCTAAAAATAAATATTGTTAACTTCAATGTGTGTTTTTTTTTTAATATTCAGTGTTCGTTATGACGCAAGCTAACAACTCACATAATGAGAAGAGACAAAAGTGTGTTACTCTATTGTGGTTTTAATTGGGACGTCAAGTTACAGAAAAATATATTTTGAATAAAGAAAATTTTACTTTTATAAACAAATACATAAAACAAGTACAGAATGTTAACTTTTTATATGTGGTTTCCTAATATGCCTGGCGAGCAAATTGATAATTTTGACCATATTTGGGCCAAATTACGGAATGCTCGTTAAAGAAGAAGGCTGCAGTTGTAAAATCGAATTGTGCTTGAAACTTATCGGTGCCAGTGTAAAATGTACGATTTTGTTTTTTTTAAATAAATAAATGACGATCCTATTAAATGAGTCAAAAGTTTTGGAGGATGTTTAAAGAAGCTTCGCCCCATAAAGTAAATTTCGAAAAAATGATAAGTATAAGTAGATCAAATATTTTTTTCATGATTTGAGATTTTTTCCACATAAAAGACAAAAATTCCTGTATCGATTTTTACACACAGAACTGGGTAAATATAGCGTCAGCTCTTATCAAATCTCTTGCGGAGCTTTTTAATTAGCATCATTAAAACCGAACTACCATAGCAGCAGCAGCAGCAGCAGCAACGAAGTCAAACAAAAGAAACTTTACGACGACAAGGACAATGAAAGATTTTCCAGTTTTAACAATAAGAAAGCTGGGAAAAAGGAAGTAACAAAGAAAACGTCCATTTGGTTTGTAAAGGCACGTGCGGACAATATTGTACGAATTTTTTTTGATTATGTTTATCTCTGGATTATACTATTAATAGTGGAGGAAAATTCTGGATACGTAAAATCGTGGAAAAATTGTGTGATTGCTGTTTGAGGCTATACCAATTCATGTTACTAAAGGATTAACACGGCAATAACAGGATTTTTATTAACAAAATAATACCAATTTCGGATAATGTTTACGAAATGTTGATTAACTGAAATGGAATCCTGAGAACCCATTTTTCAAGGTGATTAACACAGAAGACTTCAAGAACAAACAAAATGCTGACAAATTATCAACTTCAGATATATGATTCTCGATCTTATTCTCGATCTTGTTCTCTCCAATATTGAAGGCAAATCTTCAATCAGGTCCGGCGATATTCTAGCCCCATCATCTCTAGAAACAGAGATTCCCTTGAAGAGTGCTCATTCTTCTCCTGGTTTGTAAGAAACTGGTTTCTATCATAATTTTAGGGATGGATTTTGAATCTATTTTAGATTACCTTGATTGAGGGACCAACCATTAGACAATATGGGAAACACTTTTTACAAAATCCTATATTCAGCAATAATTGAATTTTGCGTCCCTCAGAAAAAAAACTACTTTTAAATTCCCTCACTGGTTGTCTCAGGACCTTCGCAAGTTTGTTTCACTCAAGAAAGCCGCCCATAGAAACTACAAATTTTCCAACTCCTCAGAAGATTACAATGTTTTTTCTATGTTAAAAACGCAGTGTAAAACACTCTCTATAGATCCTGTCGTACTAACTTTGTACGTGAATATGAATCTTGCCTGTAAGACGATGTAAAAGCTTTTACCTTATTTTTTTTTCCAATAATTGATGGTTCAAAATAAAATAGTATACATATTTCGGTGGAAAGTTTTCACTTATATTGTCTCGAGAATCTCTCTCGACAATAATGAAACACTTTCCACCTCCGCATGTAATATACTATTTAGAGCTACATTAATGCAAACAAAAAAAAACCGTGGATTATCTAGGAAAATGTGCTGTAATGAATCCACCTCTATAACACTGACATATACAGGGTGGTCCTTCGGGAATGACATCGATTGCTTATGGGAAAACTGTGAAAGGTAAAAATTTGAAAATTTGGCAACATAGCAATGTCGATGGGGGACATCTAGGTAAAATATTTTCAAGATGGCGGCATTTCCGGTCATACCGGAAGTTGATACCAACTCGGTTATTTTAAATAGAACACCCCGTATATAAATGTATTTTTGAATTCTACATAAAATTCTGAGCAGATTTCATGTAATATACCCTATACCTAAGTTCAACTGTTTTGGAAATATTGACAGTTGAAAATTGACTTTTTGCAACTTTGACAGGCTGTAAAACCTGAACAATTAATTTTAGAGGAAACCCGATTTGACATTCCTATCTTAGATTTTTATAAACTATCATTTGACATCAACTTTGAATTAAATCCATGATTAAAAATTTCAGTTAAATTTAATCTCCGTTTAAGTTCAAAGTTGGTGTCAAATGATAGTTTATCAAAATCTAAGATAGGAATGTGAAATCGGTTTTCCTCTAAAATTAACCAATTAGGTTTTACAGCTTGTCAAAGTTGCAAAAAGTCAATTTTCAACTGTCAATATTTCCAAAACAGTTGAACTTAGGTATAGGGTATATTACATGAAATCTGCTCAGAATTTTATGTAGAATCCAAAAATACATTAATATATGGGGTGTTCTATTTAAAATAACCGAGTTGGTATCAACTTCCGGTATGACCGGAAATGCCGCCATCTTGAAAATATTTTACCTGGATGTCCCCCATCGACATTGCTATGTTGCCAAATTTTCAAATTTTTACCTTTCACAGTTTTCCCATAAGCAATCGATGTCATTCCCGGAGGACCACCCGGTATAGCTATAGTCTGTTTCATTGCAGTTGATAGCTGAAATCGACGTTTAACACCATAAAATCATTGTAAACCATAGGGTTCACAATTACTTTATGGTCCTAAACCTCGACTCCAATGAAACAGACTATAATCTATTTGCTCCTTACTTCTCAAATGTATTCTCAACCAAATCCAATCCCAATTTCACTGCACGCCATGACCATTTTAAATATATCCCTCAACAATTGGGAACTTGCATGAAATAATAATCCTTACATTTAGGCCCGGTTTATTCATCTTCAGATAAACTTGCTGCAAGATAAATATACCGTTCTATAATTCTATTGGATGGAATTACAGATTGCGTCAGATTGCATACCTGATGTATATCAGAAGCTGAATCGACCGGCCCTAAATTAAATAAATGAAAGGTACAGATGTTGATAAGGACATTCTCGCCAAATTCTTCGAATCTATATGTTGCCGTCTTTGTCTTACTTGCATTAGTTTATACCGATACTACGGAATGACGTCACATAGTATCAGTCTTTTCACTCCTGTAACTTTGTTAATTTTGAAGATATTCAAATTTTGTTTGCACAGATCAGTTCCAAACGTTTTGAGGACTCAATTCAAAAACTAAAAAAAAAGTTCTGTAAACTTTTCACTTTGGATATCAACAAGGGCTCCATCCCTGATGAGTGACGGTGTGCCACCTTCATAACTCCTCCATACTCTGTACTTTTGTGATTGCTAGACCAGTTTTTCCATTTTACTGGAAGTTGAGTCATGTCCCAATTTTTAAGTCCGGTAATAAGTCAGACATAAAAAAATTACAGGCCGATATCCATTCTGAGTTGTGTTTCTAAGCTTTTCAAATGTCTTATAACAAACTGCCTATAACCTGACAGTCCAGTTGGGTGGTATTATTATTGACGACCAGTATAGCTTCATGAAAAAGAGGTCAACCCAACTTAATCTAATCTCATTATTCTCATTTGTATACTATTTGTCGGGAGCCTTGGAGAATGGGCGTCAAGTAGATACCATATACACTGAGTTTTCCAAGGCATTCGATAGGGTCAACCACCACATTCTTATCGCTAAACTTCGTTCTGTAGGAGTCGGGGGGTGTATCTGGGCTTGACTCTCTTCCTGCCTACTTGAAAGATCATTCATGGTTCGCGCCGAAAACTTTCTCTCTAAGAAAACTGCCGCCATATCTCTATCTGGAACCTTTGTTGTTTAATGGCCTTATAAATGACACAACGACTAACTTTTTAGCTGGTGCCAGTCTTCTCTTTGCAGATGACCTCAGGATCTTTATAACGATATTCTCAAATTGACTTACTGAGTGATTGGTGTACAGTTAACTGTATGGATTAAAACATATAGAAATGCCAGGTTATGAGAATCGTTTTACTTTCATGGGTTAGAGGGCAGGACCAAACAATAAGAATCTATCAAGCTTAAGGCTTGAAAAAGGAAAAATATATTCCGAAACGTTGCCGAAAGCTTGACAGTTTCTTATTTTTTGATCCTGTCCTCTATCCCACGAAAATAAAACATACACGAAAGGATCGCAGTTATGAAATTCTATCGTTTAAACGTTTAAGCAATCCTATTATTGTAAATTACAGACTTTTAGGCAATACTCTCAACTGTTGGAGCAATCACCGACCTGGGTGTCATTCTGGACTGCAGTTTATCTTTTGCTCCTCATATCTACATTTGTAATAAGGCACTGCAGATGTTGGGTTCCATGAAGCGTGCCACCTCAGAATTCAATAATATAAATTCCATAAAATTTCTCTACTTCTGATTAGTTAGATCGCACTTGGAGTTCTTCTGTCTGGAATCCTTATTATGCAGTCCACATAAAGAAAATCGAACATATCCAGCATACTTTTCTTCGTTATGCAGCATATAAACTGAACATACCCAGTAAGCAGATTGACTCTGCTGATCTAGAGAGTTCACTTAACATGAACACCCTATCAAAACGCCGGAGACAATAAGATATGAAAGTTTTGTTTAAAACATCATCAATTACAGATCCTACGATCCACAACTACTACAATTCCATGTCCCTTCGCGAAACACAAGCAATACTTACCTATTAACCCAACCTTTCTATAAGACAAATTATGGCTTCAACTCTCCCATCACTCGATTAATACGAGCAGCTAGCTCAGAAACTTTGGATCCTTATGGCATCTCATACAACCCAGTTTCTTGCTGACTTGAGAAGAATTGTCATTTAATACCAATGACATACCCTTTCTAGTTATTTTTTAATAGAATACCTACTTTACCATTGGCTAGAATGTATACCATAGACTTAGTTTTAAATTGATAGGTGTTGGCTAAAAAACTTGATGGATGGAAAGAAAAACACAGATCATGCAACAGCTTGTAGATATAACTCCAGAAGCAGTATAGCCTTGGGATATATACTTAAAATATAGAGAAGGGCAAGAGTCACTTTCATTTCTAAGGCAGGCAAGAAGGATGGGACAGACCCAAATCCTTCAGACCAATAAGTATCACATTGGAGACAGCTCTGTTCCAAATGACGAGCATGATACAAGAAACACCAGTCAACAAAAAAATCGCATTATGTACCGTCCTAGACATCGCTGGTGTCTTTGACAGCACTTTCCATGTGGCCATTCGGAGAGCAATAACGAGAAGGGGACTCAACGACACAATTCCTCGTCTGAATATAAAGGAGCATTTGCTTATACTTACAAAATTTCAAGTAAATACTTTAAGGGCTATAAATAAAATTGTATTAACATCAATTTTGCTTAAAAGTAGGAAGCAGAAGCAAATTCTCATGAAATAGAAGGATTGGCTTCAAACGTATGAGTAAAGCCGACCACTTGCTTACAAGTGCGAGCATCTATATTGTCTGGCTAGCCAAACGGCTAACTACAATAGAATTTGCAATATGGGCATGTGTACATAGTATTTTGAAATAGAAAAAAATCCGGATGTGGAGAGGCGTGATTATTCAGAGGCATGATTCTTATTGGTGAGAGCCTGAACGACAGCAACAAAGCGGGCGTTATATGGATCAGGTTGTTATAGGTGTGTTAACGTATTTCGTTTAAATTACCGTACAGTATAATACAATTTCTTTACATAGTACATTGGTTTAACAAACATGATCTAAACTTCACAAATTTTCCTTTTCCCAAAGATGTTGTAATATATGTATATCTGCACAGTGCACAGTTTTCTACAGAACAAACATACTTAAGTACTATAACTCCTTTCCAATATAGATCTTCGATAAAATGATATTTTATATCTATATGTTTGCTACGCTTAGAATTGTTACAGTTCTTTATCATAGATATAACACTCAAGTTGTCTAATTTCAAAGTCACTGGTTTACACATACCTGTGAAGTCATAAGAACACCCTTGAGATTAACAAGTTCTTCTGCTGCCAGTCCTGCAAAAATGTACTCTGCCTCCATTGAGGACAATGCGATGCAGTTCTGTTTCCTTGAATACCAGGCTATTGCAGAATTTCCATGAAATTATACAAATCCACTTACACTCTTGCGAGTATGATGATCGCCTGGGACAAATAAGCATCGCTATATACTATATCAGATCTGTTCCCGAAAGATAGATACCGTAAAACGAGGTTACTTTGTGACAAATTTTACGGTTTCGGTTGATTTTTCTGAATCTAAAAAGAAATAATCAATTTCTGGTAGGTCAATGATAAACTTACATCATTTGGCTTTTAAAATACAATGAGATATTTTGAAAATTTTTAGAAGTAGAGCTGTGGTTTGCAAAAATAGTTGTCACAATCTCACCCCCATCCATGGGGGGACTTTGTGACAACTAAAAATTTGCACGCAAGTCCAAAGTAGTCGTTTAGCGGGCCGAGAATATGACACAAATTAGATACAAATGGGACTAATTAGTAATTTTATTAGATTTGTCTTAAATTCACCCCTTCAGTCGTGAGCACGTCTAACTGATGTGTCACAAAGTGCCCCCAAAAACAAATTTCATTGAACTTAAATGGTTTATTTGTCTAATAGGTACATATAAATGTAAAAAAACATAATACCTAACTTGAAACTAAGGAAACTTAAAAAATAAACTAAAAAAAGTAAACTCAAAAAAAATTAAAAAAAATTAAATGGTACTAACATTGTAAGTACCACATTAATTGTGTCACAATTTCACCACGAAATTTGTTGAAATTTTATTAAATATGGCGTCACATGCTTGTTGATTAGAATTATGAAAATGTTAATTCTTCAGATAATAGCCAAAACTACAAAGAACACTACCTAAACTCAAATCCTGGCTACATGAGATAGTCTTAGTTGAGCAAGGTAAAGTTTACAGCAAAAGTAAAATATTGAAATTATCTATTGTTGATATTTTCCGCACGCACAGCTGGACGCCGTCTTCCACAACATTAATTGATATACTGATTTGTTCGCGCGCTTTTTGGAATGCCTTGAGCGCAATCGCGAGGCCGTCGGTTGAGAAATGCGCGAACTGTTGAGGATTTGATGCGCGCGCTACCATGTGTCACAAACTCACCTGGCAGTTCTAAAGTAACCCCGTTTTACGGTACCTGCATTTAACTACATACCAATCTTCGATATGGAACATTATCTATACCAATATAGCATTTATATATTCGAAAATTGACTACCATTGGAGTGGCAAATGACCGAGTCTCGTTCATTCTAAATTCTTCTTATAGCCTTTTAATCATTCTTTTCTGGGTAATTTGAATATCATTGTCACTCCTCATCAAATCCATTCCAAGAAATGTTTTCACTTCATACATTGATTTGACTTTAAATTCCCGAAACAAGTTGTTTATAAGTTCCTTTTGACTTGATCTTCTGGTCCAATTATCAGAGCATCATCAACAAATAATACTAGGGATATGCTGTTATTCACAAATAAACAATAATCATATTGCGATCTTCAAAAAATTGAAACTTGTCATGACTTGATTGAATTTCATGTTCCAACATTTGGGCGCATTTCTAAGTGCATATAAAGCACGTCTCAGTTTTAAATATTTTGCATCTGTGTTCAAGTCTTCAGGTGCTTCAATGTACACATCATTTTCTAGGAATCCATTTAGAAATGCAGTAGGAACATCAATCTGATGCAGTTCCCAACCATTCTGTAAAAACACTAATATAAGTATAGTCTCATTGTAGCTAACCTACATACTGGGGCATAAATGAATTCATCACTTTCATCATATGGTACTTGGAAACCTCTTGCAACCAATCTTGTTTTCTTTGTGCCATGTTCTTTAATTTTAAAAATCCACTTCGTGTCTATAGCTGTTTGACATTCAGGAACTTCTGCTGAAATCCAAGTTTGAGAGTTTTCATGAGATTTAATTCCCTCTCTATGGTTTCTCTCCACTCTGCAGTTTTACAGGCTTTTGCATAACTCTCAGGATCATCTGGAGTCGCTGTGGGCAAACAATAGGCACTGCAAATTTCATAGTCATCAACAATTTTGGGTTTGTTCACAGTTCTTCCATGTCTTGTTATAGTCCTATCAGTCTATGACATATGTTTTTCGTTCTCATTATTACTTGAATTTCCATTGCATCCTTACATATTATTGGTCATTTGAACAGGTCTCTCTTCTTGTATCTCTTCATTATAATTTTTTTCTTGTCTCTCTTCTCCCTCTTCTCTTTCCTGTTCTTCATCAGGCAAGTAGTTTGGCTGTTTTTCTTTTTCCTTTGGCCCACTGCATCTAACTTATCACCTTTGGGTAGAATTGTAAACCAAGTTCCGATACCCAAAAATCTTGAGCTTACTCATATCATTTCATCCATGCCAAATTGTCGAAGGTGCTACTCCCCTAGGTAAAGCTCTAGTTGGAATGGGGTTCAGTTCACACAGAACATTTTACAGTCTAATCCCATAGTGTTTTTGGAATACCTGAATCTATAATCTTAGTTCTTATTTCATCCAATAGAGTCCTATTCATTTTTTCAGCTTTTCCAGCCCCCAGCTTTTGGGGGCTATATGGCGTGGTATACTCCAAAGTCATACCATTCTTCTTACAAAAATTCCTAAAACTACTCAACGCAAATTCTCCTCCATTATTTAGTCTAAATGCTTCGACCTTAACCTGGTGCTGTTTTTCAAGGTCTTTTTCATATTGGAAAAGGATTCATGCTAGCCTCATCTTTAGTTTTTAATATTTTTATCACTAAAAAATGTGAAAAATCATCTATTATAGTTTGGAAGTACTTACCAACATCTATAGTAGCTGCAAACCTCACTATGTACCAGATCTCCCGCATAGCAGTCAAGATCCTCTTATTCTCAGATACGATCAAAACATATAATTTTGAGAAATGGTTCACCAGTAGTGAGAAGTAGCAGAGGAGAATGGAGAGGAAACTCCACATCCATTATTACAATGCAGCAGAGCGCCATAAAATGGATGGATCAAGAACTCAATAAGGGAGTACTTGGGCCTAGATGTGCTGAGTTCAGTCTTGACAGAATCAACAAAAAGAGAGAGAGATTGTCATACTCTTGGACAGTCAAGCAGCTATTAAAGCGCTGAGCTCACCAATAATCAGCTCCAGAATGGTTTGGGAATGCCTGGACAAATTAGGCAGACTGGGCAAAAATAACAAACTATCCCTCCAGTGGATATCGGAACACCCAGGGATCGAAGTCAATGAGAAAGCGGACCAATTGATGAAATTGGGAACACAGACTCCGCTTTCAGAACCAAAGCCTTTCTGTGGCATAGGGATGCATACCATAAGGAAGCGTTCAGAAAAGGAAATTCTCTCCCTAGAACCATCCAGCCTACTTGCTTTCATAGAATCTTTATTGCTGGATGAAATGCTTCAAGTGAGAATCCTATCAACTGAAGCACCCAGAATAAGGGGGACACAATAAATCTATGCAGGTCGCAGTGTAACAATACCTTCAAATTCATTCATTTATATCGAACAAATAAGACGATAATTTCTAACTATAATTACAATACCCCATTTAAATTTCATATAACTCTTGAAAATATATTTCAGCAGCAACAAGATCGACGTGCCTTTTCAAAGCCCTAATTAATTTAATGGCCATATCAAATTTCATTAACCAGCCCTTTAATTTATATAAAATTACACTTTGCTTTTCAGCGTGCTAGTTAAATTTAAAAACATTATGTAACTAGATTTTGAAACCAAAATATAATTAGCTAAAAATGTTCAGGTGAATACATTTTATTTTGATTTCTCTTGGACGTAATCCTCTGCAGTTTTTGTCCAAATAGGTGGCAATATTTGCTTCTGGATAAATATGCACGGTAATTCTATTGTAAACGTTAGAATTATTCCTATTATAAATGACGTGATGATGTCTATAACCGTCCATAGGACCTAAAAAAAAAAAGATCACTTATAAATATGTAATAATTGTAGCACCAAAACTGAGCTATTTTGGTTGGGATTCTAGAATATTCTTGTGTAGTTTAAATAGATACAGGTAGGTATACTTACAATTTTCGAATGATATAATTCAATAGGTTGACTATAATGGGCACCTCTGTGAAAAACCCACCAGAAATGAAAAACGTAAGTGCAAAAAGTGAACTTGCCCAGATGGACCAGATATTTGTGTTCCAGTATTGACCGGAAAAATCCTAAAAATACATCAAGTGAAATGTAATCAAAATATAAATGTATTCTAGGTACCTTTGATTACATTCCTAGACATCCCATATATTCCAGTCGCCAAACCAAAAGTGAACACTATTCTAAACATTGCACCAAAAATTGCTGTCAGCACACGGTTATGGTTAATGTCAGCTAATACGAGAGATAATAGGGGACAAATGAGAAGAATTTTCCAATAGTGTTTCTCATAGGGCTAAAAGAGAAACTTTAGAATTAGAATTTAGATTCTGAATACAAGTCAACATTGGGCTAGAAACTATATTAAACAAATTACAGACCTCTGGCTTATCTTCAATTTGTGTATTCTGAAAGTAGAAATATCCAAATAGTATTCCCAAAATGCTAGAGCTGAAGTTAACCCAAAACCCGTATAAAGTGTAGGGAGTTTTTTCGTTTTTGAAAATATTCATATTAGTTGCCAACCTTAAAAAAAAATTAAATAATAGGTACTTTTTTACATTATCCTTTTTCCCAGCTTACTTTACAGTTATCATTGTATCAGGACCCAACTCTTTTACGTAAATTAGTATAGCGACTATAATATAGGAAGCAATGAGTAAAACATATACGCATTTCTTAAGGTTTAATTTGTATTTCAGGATGAAATACAAAAAAACGATTGTCATTAAATACAGTTGGCTGTCAATAGAAAGATACCACATTCCCAGATGACACTAAAAAAAGATAATATCAATTGAGAAACTTAATCTCAGAATGGAAGATTTGATGGACCAACCTACTAGACACATAAGACGTATTAGCTTGTACCCGGTTTTATCAGTCAACTAGTCCCATTGAGGCCTATGTGTCTAGTAGCCTGCTCCTCTCTGTATAAGGTATTAGGTTTTCGCGATATGTCTACTTACCGTATCATAACTGGGCAAGAAATTGGTAGCGAATAAAAACGTGACCCACCAATTTTTCTCGCAAGCATCATTAATCAATTTACCAACTTCGAACGTTCCAGGCCCGTAACCAAACCGCATATATATCGGCAAAACAACAAAAAAATTAACAGCCAAAATGGGCCACATCCTAACGATCCTGTGCAAAATCATGAGCCCGGCATCTCTAATGGTAAATTGTTTACTTCTGTGGTGCTTCGTTAATATTTGCAACGTCAAAAACCAGGTGGACAGGCAGAAAAACAACGCCATAATCGAATACGAAGCGAGTAATAGGTATTTCATTAGGGTGGTACCCATCATCGTTTCGAAGAATTCGGGATTTCGTATATTTTTCACGCTGATCATCATGCAAGTGTGGCCGCCCACAACGCACACTGATAAAATTGTTCTAACGCCTTGGATGCATCTCAATTTTTGGAAGTCTTTACTTTTCAAGGCGGTGATGTTTTTGAAGTTCGTCAAGGAGAAACAGACTAGGATTTCTTCTACTGAAACAAGAAAACGACAAGAGTGATTAAAGTTTGTTCACATTTTTTTTATTTGTAAATAAGGATCAAAAAACTGGCACTAAGTTAAGTTTTTGATTGATTTCTGAGTAAAGAAGTAGCATTTTTTATTTTTAATAGTTGAAAGCCATTGTGTGATTAAAATGATCAATTGGGATTTCACTGAGTTTTAGGCACTTAGAATATTCGAACTCGTCACCCAAGGATTCAACTAGAAATAGAAAACTGGAGCTGCTAGAACTGGAATAGGATTCCAACACAGATGATTCAAGCTGAATTGTTCTTGTGGGCTTGTAGATAGGCTTAATGTTGTCTTTCTAGCGTTCGTTCTATGTGACATTTTTGATGTAGGGAAGAAAAGCTCTCTCAACCACCTGTGCAGATTATTTGTGCGCTGTTGCTTTGGTCTTATAGCTCTATTTATCTCCTGCTTGGAGTACCCATTTCCTTCAAGTGCTGATTTTAGGTGTTGCATCTCGTCCTGAAGGTATCTGGGCTCACAAATCCGGATTGCCCTGTCAGATAGAGTTTTAATGACTCCTCTCTTTTGCCTAGGATGGTGATTGGATTCCTTATTGAGATATCTGTCCATATGCGTCGGCACATAGCGGAACCAACAAGTAGGTTTCTTTGTAGCCGTTCGCAGTGCCATTTGTTCGAAGTGTTCCATGTAGAATTTGGCAATAACCGGGCTGAGTGGACTTCCCATTGCTACTCCATTTGTCTGCTTAAAGAATTCATTTTGCCATTGAAAGTACGTAGTCGTCAGACAATGGTGAAATAAGTTGTTGATTTCCTCCGGAAAAACATCTTTCAGATACTCTAAGGCCTGATTCACTGGTACCTTGGTAAACAATGAGACGGCATCAAAACTAACCAGAAGGTCGTTTGGTAGTAGGGTGGTGTCACTGATCTTTTTGATGAAATGAGTTGAGTCTTGAACATAAGAGCTGGATTGGCCAATCCGTGGATGAAGAAGGGTGGTGAGGTATTTGGCTATGCTGTATGTGGGCGAATCTATTGCACTTACAATGAGCTTGAGTGGGTTGCCTGTTTTGTGAATCTGAGGAAGCCCATAGGTGGTGTAACAAAATCAATAACAAATTTATATTCTCGGGTTAAATTCATTATTCGTGGGAAAAGTTTTATTTTTATAGAGAGCTGAAATGTGACCCTATGATGAAATTTACAAACACATAGAGTTCTGCGAGAGGTCTAATCTGTTCAAAGGTAAGAAGCACTTAGCCAGAAAAGTATCGAATTTTATAGCTTCGAGATTATTATTGCTGTAATCCAAAATTGACAAATATATATTGGCAAAATTTATGTTTTCCGAGATAAACACTAAACTTTAAACTAATCTCTCGACTAAACCAGTCCCATGTGGTTGTAATAATTTATTCAAAGTCAAGAATAATCTCTGACCCACGTTTTATAAAGAACCCAGATGTTAGAATGATATATTATATTCGAAGCATATGTGTGTGTAGAGAAACAATAATTACATGAGCTGGATTTTTGAGATGCAATAACCAATTGTATAATAATAATAGAGGTAAGTGTCTTTGCTGGCAATGAAACCATGCCAAGATCCTCGTAATTTCTCCGAGTCCAATTTCAGACGAATCCAGCTGGTACAGAAAAGACAATATGTACCAATTCAAATACTCACTTGTCAAGTGACTGTCCAACAACTAATTGACCATTGCGGCATGTATAGTCATCGCAGTACCGTAGCCGGAGGCTTTGGAAAATATATTTAGCATATAGAACCACAACAATGTCTGAAGGCACACCGATTCCGTCAGTTAGATCTCAAAGGAATGGGAGCTGCTGTTTATTTCCAAACCTATTCTGAATGGAACCACAGAAGTTTCAGCAACTCTTCAAGGTTTTGCCGACGCCAATGGTCGATGCGAAGGTGTAACATTTGCCGTGGGTTCCATCCAATATTCTAATGTGGTGGTTACTGCAGCAACATCCATTAAACTCCAAGATTATGTTGCGGTCGCCGATGTCGAACGAAATTTAGTTACCCTACGGTCTGGTGGTGTCTGTCCATACAATGATGGTTATTGTTTTGATGATGTTGAAGGCGAAGTTACATGGCAACAACATCTATCCAGTTTATGCTCTACAAGTGGTGTCGACGTACTATACCTAGGAAACGCTACTCTCGTTGTATTAAGTCGGAACCCACCGTTGTGGAAACCGAAGATACAGTTTTCGCTTTAAAACTGACCAAACCAGAAGAAATTTGTGCTCAAAAGGCTTGTGTGACTGAACAAAACTGTTTACTTGTAATTTTTCAGGATTCGGTTGGATTCTATTACCATCGTACATGATGGCTCACGTACTTAGTAAACTTTTGTATTTGGAGATTGCAGTAAAAAGGACAAATGGCTGATGTCATCTACAACTCAATTATGAAGAGATGCCATTTGAGAGAGAAGATTCTACAAAACAGATTAGCAATGGCAAAACAATCGCCCGACGCCGTTGGTAATCTGGTCAAAGAAACATCAGGATATGTTAGTAGAGTGACGGGAGAAGTACTCTATATTGCTAAATGCCAGAGCTATTGTCGTAGACTATTGAAAAACTTCAGAATGCTATCAAGAACTTCCCGTGATCTATCTGAACAGATCACTATACAGAACTGCTATTAGACACATCCTAGTGGAACATGGAACCAAAGTAGAATGTCAACCACTACTTCCAATGAATTTCAAGTAGGAAAATAACTGGTTAGAAGTAACACCTGACCTAAAGCGCATCACCGAAGCTTTAGAATTAGATGCCAATGATGAAGAAGACAAACTATCAATGCCAAGTATTTCCATCTCTCCTATCAGTTCCAATGGAATTTATTCCAAGGAAGACATGGAAAGTTCCCAGCAAACTCTCTTATATCCAAATACCAGAAAAGCAATAACTAATCAATTAGCCCATAGCCTTGGATAGCTTAGATCCTTATTACATGCCAAATCTGTTTAGTAAAACCGAATTTACAAATACAGCCCATTCCGCTGCCGAGGAAGTGTGGGGATTATTATCCGGAATGGGAAATTTACTTTCCATCTGTGGATTCCTGTACACCAAAGTTTGCGCATTTAGTTATTTGGCCGGTGTCGTATCAAACTATTTCACCATCAAAGAAGCAACAGTTAACCATCCACGAAAACGACGATATTTTTTAGCCAGTCTGTGGAATATTACAGTGTCAGTAAATGCTACTGCCCCCCAGGAACAATCAAACAATTCGTTGTATCCAGGACTGCCAAAGTATGCCGTGCCGTGTAGTGATCCGAACTGTAAAGTGAACGACGGAAAAAATAATCCGCGTGACCCATAGTTCGCAAGTGTGGGCGCTCGTTACTACGAAATTAGGGAACTTTTATTTTATACATTCAATTAGGTAATTAGAAAAGGAAAAGATTTTCAATTAAAAGGGAAAACAGTAAATGTTAAATTAATAATTTGACATGTAAGTAGCGAACTCTGTTGGAGAGCCATCAAACTGGATCATAGGGTTGAGCACTTTGGATGGGAAAGGTTGGATAAACTTGGGAGCCAATAGAAACACGGCAAGAAACCAAAGGATAAGAGGGTGGAGATCCTCGAATCTCGCAAGCCAGGTACTGAGAGGAGCCAATGGGCTTCTAAAGTGGTACCCAGAGGGTGGTTCCTTTCGGTTATTTAAGCAGATGTAGAGGCCACAAAACTTCAGTTATCGCCAATTCGCCCCTAGATTTTACCCCGAGTAATCGCCGGAAAATTAAGTCGCAAAGTCTCAACGAGTTCTCATCCGCTAGTTCATCTGCAGACCGGCGTTTTAGGGAAAACTCTTCAAAGAGGTGACAGTTTTTTTTTTTAATTTCAATTTTCAATAAAGTCTCAGATTTTGAACTAAATCTTTCAATTGGGGATTTATTCTCTTTTCTTTCAATTATCTTAATTTTTCTTCAGTTGAAATTGTTGATGGTCTATCAATTGAATAAGGTATTTTAGTGTTTTCCATATTTTACCTTACCTTTTTTTTTATCTTTAAATAATTAACTTTTCTTTTCTGGTTTCAAAATTCCCATTAAAACACTGGTGGTGGCGTAAAAAGATCTTACGTGCCGGTTTGTGCGGTTAGAGAAGGTGTTTCCAGCTTCAGCAGAAAAGTGGTAAGTGGTACTAATTTTGAGTCTGTATTAACACCTTTCAATAACCACTCCAAGAAGAGGAAGAAAGAAGACTTCGTCCAGATTGCCTCCGGTTCAGAAAACGGTTATTTACTACTTCAGATCAAATTTACATCTCAGCATAATTTACCACGAAATTTTAAGATGTGACAGAATTATTCACGCTACCAAAATATGAATACATAACATCTCAATTTTGTCACAGTGGTAAGGCCTCAGATTTGATGAGTTTCTTTATGTTTTCCGGGTCCAACGGTAGTGCTCGGACGAGTTGATTGGTTTTTCGCAATATAAAAGCAGTGGGATTGCGCTTCAGGGTTTTATAGGTGGAGGAGTCTAGCAGTCACGTTCATGATTCCCGTTGCGTTTCCTTTATTCGCAGGCAGAACTAGTATGTTTTTGTCTGTATTCAGGCTTCGAATAGCTTTCCTTTCCTCGTATGTCAGGTTGCATTTTGGAGGTTTCGCTAGTCGTAGAATCCTGGATGTTTCATTGCGTATTTTCTCCGCAGTGGTTTGAGGTAATGTGCGAATGGTGGCTTCCACATTTGCTATGATGTCTTCGAATAACAGTTATTCCGGTGTTATTGCAAAGTTGCCTCCTTTTCTTAGAACACTAGTTTCCGAATCGGTCAAAACGCGTTGGGTCAGGTTGACAACTGTGGGTTGCGCAGTGTTCACTGATTTCAAGGACTCAATCTTGTTCATCAGTTTCTTGGTTGTTTTCGCTAGTGTGGCTTCCATCACGTCATACGTCATTCGGTCAATTTTGTCCCAGTCACTTCAATGCATGCTGTTGGATAACCTTTGGTTTATTGATAGAAGATCCTTGTCCATAGCTGCTAGGTCTTTCCCTGTTTGGTGAATCCGTTCCACACTCTCCATCTCTACCACACCGCCTCTGAAGATGTCTACCGCAGCAGTAGATGAAACGTTAGGTACCTAGTAATACTAATGGACCACAGCATTATAGCCCGGAAAATACTTTTTTACTAGAATAACTTGACATATAGAAATAACCAGCTAAAAAATTGCAAATATCATACAATAGTGGAAGTTGGAATTTCTAAATAAGACTTCTACATCTACATCTACTACATCCAAAAGTCACAAGGTGATTGCGCTAAGCCTAGAATAGATCAAAGAGAAACTTCATGACAAGAGAACCCTATCCCAACTGGAAAATTAAACGAGCGGTACTGCTGTCTAGTTCTACTTACATTTAGAATGGCAATTCCGATCATACAAAGTCTCACTATATGTTGTGGCAACCAAAAGTAGAACCACATATAAACTAATACCAATCCTGAAATCAAAATAATTATTTGAAATTATCTCTACATATTTGTACAGCTACTTGCATTATATATCTCAAATCATTATTATATTCTTTGGGCTCCATACAATTTAGTGTTACCAACTCTGAGCTGAAATTATAAACTTCCACTTCTTGGTTTATGGTATTTTCGATAAAATCCTTTTTTTGATTGTCGCTTGTGCAATTTGCAGGAATACATACTGTTCTATAAATGAGTGTCCGATTAAAATGAAAAAGTGAAGCTTTGCTCCAATCCTTAAAAAAAATTAAGTCAATAATTGTAAATTATTATATTATCTACTCTAACATACTTCTAGGCTTTTCCAGAATTTACAGTCGGTATTCGATGGAAGTAGTTTCAGACTAGCTGTACAGAATGAGCTATCATCAGGACATTCATAGTAATTTTCCATTTTGAATAAATCAGGAAATTTGCTTATGTCAGATGTTCTTCCTAAATTATATTTATTACAAAACTTACTAAATCAAAAAAGATTCACTTACCATTCATCAAATTTTTCTCACATAATACTGAAGTAATAACAAAATACAGCAAATAAATGAAAGACTTCATTGTGGCTGTGTTAATGCTTTCCAAGTTAAATTTTCATATTTCCAGTATAAAATTTTAATAAAACAACCCTTGAAAGGGTGTATGTAGGTATGTGCCAGCAGCAGATGTTGATTTTCAAGCCTGGAGTATGCTCAACAAGTTTGAACTCACTTTTTTATAATTATGGAGCAGCAAAATTCAAATTTCCTATATCGTCACTTAATTATTATGTTTTGTACCGTATATTTTTTTTTGAAAATATTACCTACATATAAGTACAGTAGTAAACAAGAAGACTACATTATTTTTTGTGTAAACTTTTCAAATTAAAACGATGAATAATAGGATAATTTGCTTTAACAAGGAAAATAGTTTATTGACAAGTGTAGAATTCTAAATTATGGGTTAAAACAAGAACCAATATCGCACATGGTATTTCACTATAAAGGTTGATATCTACATATATTATAAATTATTCCGAATATCCTTATTCATTTGACAGATTATTTATACAATATTCCGCGCACATTCGCTTCTATCCGGGCTAAGAACTAATTTACAATAATTTTTTGCCTAAATTCAATTTTAAATATCACTTTGTCAACAATAGCTGAATTATTTATTACATATTTGAAACAAACATACACCCTGCAATTGAATTTACAGTGAGTGACTAATGTCCAAAATCCACTTAAATCAACTTATTTAAGCTTATAATTACCCAGCCTAATTTATTGGTGAAAATTATTTAGATAATTGCTTTATAAAAGTTTTGAACAAAAGCTGTTTTTATGCGTCTACTTCTAATGTGTGTACAAGCTTAACTTAATTGATGAACAAGCACGAAGCCCTATTTAGAAATAATTAATTTAAAAGCTTCTTTGAACTTTATTTTCAAAATACTGTTGATAGTTTAATAGGAGCGTAAACAATTCGATTATTATCAACCTCAAGTTGGTTCATAAAATGATAATTCTAAGCACCACAATTGGAAGTCTGATTCAGAATATCATGTTAATATCGGGATGCTGAGTCTAATATTCGCTCTACAAACAAAACTGGGATTTGTAAAATTCTATTTTGAAAGTTTAATTAATACTTTTCAGAGCGAAGAAAGGAGTCTCGATTTTCATACACAGAAAATTGAGGAAACATATAACATCATGGGAAGCAGTAAACGAAACAATATTAAAACTTAATCAGTCGTATGCTGAAGAGTATCTGCTCCTACCCTTTGACAATCATTTTGTTCTTCTTCAATATCTTCTAGAGTACCAATGCATTTCAAAGTTAGCCATAGTTTATTCGTGATATAGTTATCTCCAGGTAGTACTTGTAACTTGGGCAGTTTTGGTCACTGGCTTCATGTGAGAAGTCATGTTTTTTATACTTTTTATTACTAATATCACAATTGATGCACTTAAGTACTTGGCTTTGACATTCCTTCACATCATGTTCCTCTGCGCATCTTCTACAGGTTTGCTTGTTCACACAGTCACGTCCTTTGTGATGATATAGCTGGCAGTTGTAGCACTCTAGGACGCTCAAATCCTTATAAACGGTCCCATCTCAGATAAACCCTTTAGCAAACAAGAAGGTTCTGGAATAGTTTAGGAGAGCATTCGGCATAAAGTGTTCCGGTGGATTTGTCTTTAAATGTTTTTATGTATGTTACTTGAAAATATTCAACTGTAGACCATTTATTTAGTTTGACCCAGGTAATGGAAAAGAAACTAGCGTATAACCAAGAACTCCATTTAGTTTTTGTAGATCTAAGGAAAGCATATTATGACATTGTTCCGCTGAAAAAGCTTTGGGAAGCACTGAAAAAGACCAATTGACCAATATCAACTTAGAACTGATAAAGGCAGTAAAAACGCTCTATAGTGATGCAAAGACCAAGATTAAACAGGTAAGCATAATCAGTGAAGGCTTTATAACAACTAAAGGACTTAAACAGAGGGATGCTGCATATCACCAACACTTTTTAAAATATACTTGGAACAAGCGCTTAAAGGGTGGAAAAACAATCGCAGACACATGGGAATACCGCTCAATGAATCCAATCTATATACTTCAAGCTTTGCAGATGATCAAGTATTAATTGCACAGGACTATGATGACCTAGAGTACATGATACGAAAATTAATAGAAGAATAAGAGACTTGGGGTTTGGAAGTAAATTTAACTAAAACATAATATATGACTATAGGAGGTGAACAACGAACTCTGAAATTGAATAACGGACAATAAATAAAACAATGTACTGAATACAAATATTTGGGCATGAAAATCTCACATGAGGAAACCCTAGACGAAGCAATTAAAAATCGGAATATACAAGGACGCAAGGCAATATCCCTACTAAATGGTGTACTGTGTGATGAAAATATCAACAAAACTAACAAAACGAGAATATACAACACCTTAGTCCAAAGCATAGTGACGTATAGTTCAGAAGTCTGGCCACTAAAGATCAGAACCGCAAAAATGCTGGAAGCAACTGAAATGGACTTTTGGAGGAGATCGTCAGGCAGGTCAAAAATGGAAAGGATAATAAATCTGAGAATTGGGGAGATTATGGACGTAAACCACACAATAGTAGATGATATAAAGGCCAAACAGCTGATTTGGTTCGGGCATGTACAAAGAATGGCCAGATACAAGAATACCCAAGCAAATTATTGAGTGGAAGCCAGGGGGAAGAAGAAGACGCAGCAGACCAAGAAGTGCCAACAAAAAAGACTATATAGAAACTAAATCCTTCAAAGTCAAAAAGGAGTTTCTCAAAAACAATTTAAATATTATGCTGGGAGAGGTATTTCTTCCTGGGGTTAATTGAGCGAAAAATTTGGGTGTTGTTTTGGACACTTACTTAGGTTTCGTGAATACGTTAGATTAGGTATTAATTAAAAAGGCATTTTTATCATTGAAAAATGAAAATGCCTTATGAAAACCGACACATTCTCACTTTCAACATGAGTAAAATGCTTTGTGAATCTCTGGTCCTGTCAAACTTCAAATATTGTGATTTCGTTTATGGCCCATGCTTAGACATCAATGACAAAAACCGCATACAGAAAGTACAAAACTCTTGCTCTCGGGTTTAAAGTCATCTTAAATCCGTCCTTCCCATCTGTCCTTAAACTTAAATTTATCACCCGTTTAAATATTCACTTCAGAGATATCCGGAGTGTTACCAGATTGGGGGATTTTCCCCCAAATTTGGGGGATTTTCAAGTAGATGGGGGAAAATCTGGGGGATAGTTTTTTCTGGGGGATTTTTTGGGGGTAAAAATTGTGAGAATTTTCGCTAGTGGGGGAAATCGGGTATATTTCAATGAATAAAACTAAAGTAAAAAATGTATTAAAACGCTAAATTTTAAGTTATATCTTATTTCTTATTTTATGTTATTAAGTAAGTACTACTATTTTTATAAACTGAGATTATTTTTTAAACTATCCAAACTTCTTGGTACAACGGTACTTATCTGTTCTGTCACCAGTCACATTTTATTTCATTTGTCATTTGTCAATTGTCATTTTATTTTTGGGATTAGAAAAATATAAACAAATAAAAAAGAGGTAAGGGTATGAGTTTTATTTTAAAATATTCAACGAATTTGTCTTTTTTTTTCCAGTATGAGTCGAGAATAAATCTATATTTATTTGGGGGATTTTAGTTGACAAACAGTGATTTTTGGGGTATTTTTGAAATCCTTGGGGGAAATTAGTTATAACCATCTGGCAACCCTGGATATCCGATTTTCAAATAAAATAACAATGCCCCATCATCGGACTGCTATGTTTCAAAGGTGTTTCACATACAGTGTATCCCGCTTAAGGACTGACCACCCTTCTAAAATTTTTATTTTTCAACCGATTCAATTTATTTATTTTTTTGTCTTATATCTACTCGAATTTGGCACTTATTTGGCTCATAATTTTATTTTTGCGGCTGTACTGGTGTACAGGGTGTCCTCATTTATAGGCTTCAATTTCAATAAGTAATTTTAGGAATTTTCTTAGAAAAAATCTGATAGCAGATTCTTATTTAGAATGGCCTAAAACCCAAATGTACTGATTTTTGTTCCGATTTGATACAGGGTGATCACAACAAATTTCCAAAATTTAATGGACCAAACCGGAAAAATGTCATATTTTCAGGCCTTGAGAACAACAAAACTTGATACAACATAGTTTTAGAACATCCTTAGCCAAAATCTGTAGTTTGCCTTAGAATATTTTTGCGGTTTGATTCATTAAATTGTGAAAATTTGTTGTCATCACCCTGTAACGTATTGAAACAAAAATTAGTACATTTGGATTTTAGACCATTCTAGACAAGAATCTGCTATCAGATTTTTTCTAAAAAAAATCCCTAATAGAACCTATTTATTGAAATTTGAGCCTATAAATGTGGACACCCTGTACACCAGTACAGCCGCAGAAATGAAATTATGAGCCAAATAAGCAGATATAAGACAAAAAAAAATAAATTGAATCGGTTGAAAAATAAAAATTTTAGAACGATGGTCAGTCCTTATACAGTGTGCGCCATAAAGTTGGGTACATATGGGAAAATTCTTAATTATTCCTTTTTTCAAAAAACTTTTTTTGGGGATCGTTAGGGCATGTTCGATAACCAAAAAATCGATTATGACACATGTCATGCGATTATCGGTTTGGCGGGAAAAAAGTTGATATTGATGTCAAAAAACGGGTAAATTTGGCAAGATATCAAAAAATTTTATAAGAAAAAGTTGTTCAGAATCCAAAAAGAACTCCACATGCCGATTTTGAAGCAAATCAGAGAAAAAAATAATAAAACTACTTATTTTATGGAAAATCGAAAATATTAATTTTATTTCAAAAATAGCTTTATTCAACTAAACTACATGAGTTTGATATCAAACGAATCGATTGTTTTGCGAAATACACACTTGAAGGTCATAAATTAGAAAATAGCGTCCGGTCGTGTCGCTATAACTGTACCCATGTCCCTTTTTGCACATTTTCTGGACATCAGAAAACTAACATGACATGTATCATAATCGATTTTTTGGTTATCGAACATGCCCTAACGATCCCCAAAAAAAGTTTTTTGAAAAAAGGAATAATTAAGAATTTTCCCATATGTACCCAACTTTATGGCGCACACTGTATAAGCGGGACACACTAATGCCATCAAAGGTTACACAACTCTTTACCATTTGAACTAACAGCTCTTAATGAAGTAAAATTTAAAAAAAAGTTCAAGCAACATTTGTTAAGCATCACCTAATAATATAGACCTTTTAATTTTTATTTTTAAATATTTATCATCTCCTTCTATTATTATTTTTATCATAGCTTATTATTATTACGTTACTATTTTTGCTATTTTCTATTGATTGTATTACCTATACATAGTGACACAAGGAATAGGGAACAACCTATAACTTTTTTAATATATAGGTTGAAAATTGGAAATTTGGAGAGCTCAAAGCGAGGCAACTTTTTGAGTTTTTTAGGCATCAGCAGATCATTTTACGTATGATAGAACCATTTTTGAAAGATTTAATAACAAAACCTAAAAAAAAATGCATTTTAAAATAAAGATTTTTCATAAGTTGTTGGGCTATTTCTCAGCAGATTTTAAAAATGTGGATATCAAAAAGTAGGGAAAAAAATCTAGTTTCAAAAAATTGTTAGGTCCCGGCGTAGTTACATTTGAAAAAT